TTTTTTTTTGGTTTTTTTTTGTTTTGTTTTGTTTTGTTTTGTTTTAATACCTTAGGTAGTTGCCACTGCTGATTTTGTGATACAGGATCCTTTTGGGATCCAACCTGCTTTTCTGGAGCTAGATCCAGGGCAGAATGCAACAGTAGAGGTTAGTGCCAAGTGCTGTAGAAAGTTTTTTTACTTAACCARATAAATTAACAAGCAAGATCATTTTAGAAGATCGGGCTGGACCTTGCAAGTTTGGCTTTGTGTGAGCAAAGAATGACTCTGGCTGTTTCTTGCAAGTGTAAGTTTTAATTACTAATCACTAAAACTGTCCTGCAGCAAATATTTGCAAATTGAAATTTATTACTTCAGGGAGGAGTATCAGTTGCAGACCATGCTAATTTTCTTCTGTCTTTCAGGTAGTGTTTTTCCCTTCTTTGCCAGAAGCCTCCCAGCAAATATATACCCTTTTGTGTGACGATTATCCAATCAATTATGTTACAGTCACAGGTCTGTTTCTAGCACCCTTCTAATTTTGTAGATACTAAGGTCATGTGAGTGGTGGTTGATGGCCTAAATGATGGTAACATTTTATGTCATTGGAATAAGCAAATATTGTGTCCTCTGATGGCATTTTTTTAATGGTGTTATTTCTGCTGCTTCCCAGTGCTTGGAATACATTGGATTCAGAAAACAATGCGCTCTTAGCCAAAAATCCAAATATAAAATGTCACCAAGTTGGAGAAAAGAAAATGAGTTGTCAGGTGCAAATTACCCTTTTTACTTTTCATCAATAAGATAACTTAACCAACTATAAAACATCTGCTGTAACAGGGCAGAAGTGAATCACATTTGGGGCACGTCTTAGATGAGGGTATTCGGGAGAGGTTGGCAGTCTTTGGATTAGCTAATGAAACCAGTTCAAATTCTTGTGAGTGTTTGTGCTTGTAGGGTAATGTAACTGTGAGTGCTGTAACATGAGGCTTGAATTTAATCTGTTGAATCACTTAATCACAGGTATTTACTTTGGATTTTTTTTTAATTTCTGGTTATTTTAATTTTAATATACTGTTCAAAACATCTGGGAGCCACATTGTCAACTGTTGTAAACACCCTGCTCACTTCAGTGAAACAATACTGATGTAAGTGAGCTGAGGCTGTGGCCCTGAAATCCCTATCTGTGAAATTCATGAACAGAAGGCCTCTGTTGACACATGCTGTTAAACAAAGAACATCATGAAAATACTGTACCAKCAACACACTGGAGTTCTGAAACTTGAGGAAACACCAGGTTTGCTATTGATGATATGAACTATGTTAATTGTCAGATGGTAAACAGTAATATCTAATTATTTCTTCAAGGGGTTGGAGAGTTGGTTGCTCTGGAGCTTTTGTCTGTCACGGGTGGAGAAAGCAAACCTGCACTGGGTGAAGTCACTGATGCAACAGCACAGCATCTCATACGATTTGACCCCCAAAACCCACACACCACTGAGGAGAAGAGATTGATCATAAAGAACTCCACGTATGTAGCTGGTAGTAKAATAATCCTCTGCAATCTGGGCACACTGGTAGGGATCTCATTTGTCTCATACTCTACTCTCTCAAGCTGRAGAAACCTGCATGGCTTTGATAAACCTCCATGGCTTTGATAAACTTGCAGAGTCTTTGCTTCTTTTTGCTCCATTGCTTGTTTATTAAGGTTCAAGGAACACTGTACATAGATCAGRCATTACAGCAACCATTAGCCAAGGTCATTATATTTGCTTCAGTAGAAGTAAATCTACAAAAGATTCAAAATATGAATGGTTGCAGGAAATAGTTACAGCGTGATGCATGTGAGATCTATGTAACTTTACATGTCTGCTATATACACTTGTGCAACTGAGCTGAGCACTCTTTTCCTGTCATCAGGAGATGTTCCCAAGGATGCAATTCTGACTGGAGACATCTCTTGTAGAAAAGTCATAATACATCCACAACTCCACTGGATCTGCACTGATTAAAATGGGAGCCCAATGTATTAATTCACATTCAAACTTTCACATGGTTCCTACTATTGAATCTTAACAGATTTAGATATAAATTGAATTTGAAGTCAAGAAATGTGTCTTATGGACAATTACACCRTAACTGGATATAGTGGCACCCTGATTTTGCTCAAAATCAGAGTCAGACTTTACCAGAAATATACTCATGCATGATTGCAGCAGTGAGAGRCTGCAGATCATCAAAGTAGTGAGGAGGCCACTGCTGGTTTTAGGTACATTAATGTAAATTGTGACTTGCTGCAGTGGATATCTGGCAGTTTGTTTTGTGGTCTGGAAATCATACATGCATAATGCCAGAACAGGCTGATGTTTGGGTAAAGAAATTGTGATTCGGTGAACTGGATATTGTGAACTCACAAAGGGTGTGACTGTGCCAATTACCACATTTTCTCTGTGCTATAATCACCACAGCAGTCCCTGCACGTCTGGTATCAGCATTTGTGTAAGACCAAGCTGGCCAGGCTGAGAGTAACTCAACAGCAGTAGAAAAAAGGAAACCTTTCTTCTGATACAGAAAGTGAGACAAGAAATTATAAATGTCCAGTTTTGTCAGTGGTAATTTCAGATTCCAGTGTCCTTCCTCCCCTTACTGAGGCAGAATTTTTTATGTCAGCACTAGCAAGATTCACAAACCATGAAGACATTCCATGGAATACACTTCTGCTGAAGCAACCTAGTTAAGCAACCTTTTCTGGATTTCAAAGAGTGTGGTAGAGCCATGGCTATAATTTTAGTTGGAGCAATTGTGTTTGCTGGTGTGTTAAAGACCACATCTTGCACTTGGATTAAACTCAGAATGTGATGCAGGTCATCAGCAATGATCCAAGGCAAACGTTCTGGTGTCAGCAGGAATGTTCCTGTTCATCCCAGATCCTTGAAAGAAGATTTGCAGAGGTTTCTAAAAGCTGGATTACATGACAAGTCAAATAAGGCAAGAAAGTGTTAGGATATCTTACAAATTTATGTAATTTAGTTTCACATATTGGCATATTTGTATGATTTATGTACTCTGACTCTATGCTGCCTCATCAGCTTTGTGGCTCACAAAGACTGGTAAGTCAAACCCCTGGAACTTGTAAAGAGAGGAGTTTCCTAGATGGAAAGAGGATCTGAACATCTTCTTGATGTATTTTATTAAAAAATATCTGATTTTTTAATCATAGTCTTTTTGTTGTTTATTGACTTCTTTGCAGCCATGTAGAACTTTCCTTCTTCTGGCAGATAGCAAAGCCTAATCTGAAACCATTAATACTAGAAGAAACTGCAGACTTTACAAAGGTCAAATACAATGAAGACAGAGAGTCAGCCTTCTCCCTAAATCCTGAGCAGGGAGTTTTGCTTCCCTATGCAGATCATGAGTTTATTCTCACTTACGCTCCACAGGAGGTATGGCTTGCGATTCCTTCCTATCTACAAACTCCAGCTGTGTATTTTTATGCAAGTCATAAAATCCTTGCTGTGCAACTTTTCTAAATTAAATTTAATTAGCTGGTACTATGCTCTGATAAAYAGTGTTCAAAATGTAGAAAGTTACTAAAAGAAAACATGTTTTGACTGCAAAATGTGAGACAGTTTCTGATCTCATGTAATTTTTGGGACTGACTGGACACAGTTACTTTTACACTGAAATTGTGGACACATCCTCATAGCTGCAGCTGTGCTGGCTTGTGAAATTACCACCCTCACCACTCCACCAGCTCCTGCCCCTTCCCCCTCTACTTTGGGGAGGTGCCTTGTACCTGCTCCAGGCTAAATAAGTTGGTTTACAAACTGATTATTTCAACTGTTTCCAGCTGTGGTTTTTTTGGCCTTAAATGGATCCTATGAACAGCTGAATGATGAATTAAGGGGATAGTAGGAGCCTTTAGAAGAGAAATGCTGGTGTATAGCTGTGCATAAAGAGGGGTGTAAGGATGTTGGCATGCATTTGTCCCAGTGACTGTTCTCTCAGTTTCTGCTCCCCAGTCCCTGTACATAAGGAGCTTGAGCTCACTGTATTTAAAGAAACTTGATCCAAAGAAAGCCCAGGAGTGGGAATRTCCCATATTGTGTTGATTGACAGAAATAAGAAACACCTCAAATACCAGAATGAGAAGAGAGTATGGAAGAGAAACTAACTGGCATTTAAAAAAAATACTTTATTTTAATTCAATATATATCCTATTAACTAATTATACACTGAAATTAATATCTGTCTACAAACAAATGAAGCTTTTGCAAAGCCCTTCAGGTTTAAGGTCTGCTTCTGTATTTCTTTCCCCCCTCCATTTTGATACAGAAGGCATTCTCTTCCCATGATGGAAAAGTCATGTTTCTTACTCAAAATCAGACTGATGGTCAATTAAGATGAATACTCTGGAGCAGTTAGAAGAAACTTCTCAATTAGTACAGCAAGRCTGAGCTTAATTTGGGGAGCCTTTGCAGATGCTTGTGTGTAGTATGCAATATACAAGGGAAATAATAACAGGCATGTAAAAAAATGAATATTTTTCTTGGAACCATACACCGTGAGATCAGAATCTGGCTTCATGTTTTGCAGTCAAACATGTTTTCTTTTAGTAACTCTGGAGTCTGAATATTGTTTATCAGAGCTTAGTACTCCGATGATGATCATTTATCCTTTACATGTAAACCACTCTTCCAACTTTTTTTGACCCTCAATGTAACTGATTACTTGACTGAAATCCTTCTCCCCTTCATCTGTGCAGCTGAAGAGTTATCACAGTGTGATTCAGATGGTACTGAGGGACATCCCAGAATCACCTTGGTAAGCTAAGAAACATTTCCCAGTAAGATATGTAGCCACAATTTATCTGTGCTATTGCATTAAGTTACTGTGATTTTTCTTCTTTCTGGTGATGATGGATTGACAAGTATGAAGAATATTATCTGCACAAGTAGCTGCAGTGCAAAGAGCATCTCCGATATCCTCCCCCATGCCCAGACACATGCCTGGCCCTAGATTTTCCTCTCTTGGAAAAAGATAATGCTGTCATTTTGTCTGCTTATTTTCCAGGGTTTCCTGTTATTATTCTTTGTCACGTCATTCTGTGACTTAAATACTTGTTCATGGACAGACTGGGAGGGACAGCTAGAGTACCTTGAAGAATAATGAMGTTTTTAATTGTCCTCAGGCTGAGCTAATTGCACACTGTACTTGAGAAACTTGAGTTTGTACTTGAGAAAACTTTCGCTGATTATGAGTTTTGATCTGGCAATTAAAAGACAGTATCCAACTTAACATCAGTTTAGCATGTTTAATGATTGTACCATATTTTYTCCCAAAGTTTAGTAAAAGAGGGGATGCTTTGCAGCATCCCAGAATGCAAAGCAGAGGATGCAATAGCACTGGAAATAGAAGTTAAAGGACTAACAGAACCATTTCATTTTCTTCTGGAACCATATGCCATTATTGTCCCTGGAGTAAACTTCATTGGTACAAATRTCAAGAAAACATTTAAGGTTTGTGTGCTTGTGACTTCACTGTTGTCATGTGTTTTATGTCACTAAATGTCATAGGTGTTATTAGAAGGTATCAGTCAGTGTTATTTTTATTTTCCTGAAATGTTTTTAAAGGAGGCTGTGGCTCCAGGACGGTCTTCAGTGAAATGCCCTACCCATCCTGCTCAGCCCTACACTCCAGGCAGCAGTTCCTTTTTCATCACTCCAGTTTGATACCACGGAGTTTGACACTTCTCAATGTTTTACTGGGTCACTAACCTGTTGCTTATCACTTCATCACTCCTGTAGTGTAAAAGTTGTCAAACTGGGAGAAATAGTCAATGGATGATTAAATTAGTTCATAACTGAGGCTCTGTTCATGCAAAAAAACTACAGGAAACACAGAAGAGCTACAAAAATCACATAGGCTGCCTCTTACTAGATGTAATTCTTTCCAGGAGGTTCCTATAATTTCTCTTTGGCCATTCTGGGCCAGAATGCTGCTGCAATTTTCTATTTACACAGCATCCTCTTCACTACAGATCAGGATCCTTTTGATCTTAGATTCACTTGGGAAAAATAGGCCTGTTAGCAAGAGCCAGGCAGGAAGACATTTCTCAGTTAATGTTTTTCCCATTTTTCTTAGACATCCTGCTAATCAGAGTTTGGTTTTATGCTTTCTCTTCCTAGAACTTATTTTTTCAATTTAAGGCAGCCATTTCATACTTKCCGATAATCCAGTATAGCTACACATGTGATATAGGTAATTAAGCCACTTATTAATGATATAACAACATCCTTTGCAATTTTCATTTGTTTTATAAGTCTTAAAAAGATAAGAATTTGAACACTGCTCAATTATCACTGAGTGATAATTGTAATTCAGAGAACAAAGTTATTTTCTGTAATTAAGAAATAATGTTTTGGCTAGATCTGAAGAGCAGGCCAAACATTTCAAGAGCTTACATCTCCCTCAAAAACAGATCCAGTGGCAAAAACCCACCTGCACTCAAAAGGAAGATTTTTCAGTTTAAATTTAGAAAGTCTGTTGCATTTTGAAAAATGGGGGAAARGTTTAAAAGTCTCAAATGTGATAATATTCTTGGAAGGAGTGGTTAATGGATTTTCTTCAGGTTAGAGGGAAAAGCTTCACCCATGTGAAGGAGATGTTGTTAAATGATGACTCACAACACCTAGTTTGCAGTGTATCAGTGCTCTCAGTAAATTGACTTGTATGAAAGCTTAATGTGCATTAATTGTCTCATTGATTTTAATTGTTTCAGCTGTGGAACAACAGCAGAACATTGATCAAGTACAGATGGGAGAATATCACRGCCTGTGAGATCATGGAAGTTGAACCTCCTACTGGTGTCATAGGTAAGGTTTCTGTGACTTGCAAGCATCGATTAATGGAAGAAATTGGTTTATATGAATTTTTGACACATGCAGAGCACTATAATGCAAACTGAAAAAATACCTGCTCCCCTGGAGCCAGCAGGAGACTTAATTTGGTTCCARGAGTTTTGGTAACAGGCTTGCAGCAGCTGGTTTCCTCACAAAAATGTGAGACAGCARCCTGGTATTTTCTTTTCTAGATGTGAATGAGTACTGTGAATTTGAACTGGCAATTTCTAGAAGCAAAGCTGGGGTCATCAGCCGTAATCTGCAGTGTCACGTTGAGCCATGTCCAGAGCCAGTTGAGCTACATGTTGAGGTTGTTTTTAAGGTAAGGAGCAGTTCAGTGTTGCAGGAGGATGAGCTATGYGGCCTGGTCATTGTCCAAATAAAGCTTTTTTGCCTCTCAATGGCTTGAGAATTCTAAGGCAGCTACAAACAGGAGTTATTTTTGCAGTAGTAACTATTGAGTCAATATTGATACTCCCACAACACTCAGAATTTTTCTGCATTACACAGTGCATTTGCTTTCTGATAYTCTATGTGAAATCAAGCATTAATCCTAGCTAACACATGCTTCTTAAAGAGGCAGTTTTGGCAGAAGTGTCTGTTCTGATGTCTGTTTCCTGGTGTCCTAGGGTCCATTTCTTTATATTGATGTTCCATCACTCCGGTTTGGTTTGACTAAGCAGGGTGAGACTGTGTCAAAAACCTTTGAGATGAAAAATCTCTGTCAGTTGCCAGCACAGTGGAGGATGCAAGAAAGCCAGGTTTGTCTGGCTGAAAGGAATGAAGAGGTAAGTCACTGCTCCAGATGGCTGTATTCCCTATTTAGCTGTTTTATTCCTTCTGCTTAGGAGTTGTAATATTCATTCCAGCTATAGAAGTTCTAACTTTTGTGACTTCWTATGAAAGTGGTCCTGCACGGTGTCATAAGTGCATGAGTCCTTTTGAGATTAAATGCTCGTTTACAATTTTGCTCTATTTTCATTTATTACAGCCAGCCTGATCCAAAGAGAGAAGGAGTATTTGCTGAATGACAATAATTCAGCTGCTGCGGATATAAATGAGAGGTTAAGRCTTTAGTAGAGCTGAAACTGCTAAACAGTCCTCTCACACATCCACATCAGCATCTCAGACAAGAATCTGAGCCCCTACTCTTCATTGATGCTCTTACTGTTTCCATTCTCCCAAATCTCCTTCTTCACCCTTCTGTCCAAGAATCTTTCCCACTTGTGGCACTTTGCTGCTCCCTGGGAGCAGATGCTGCTGCTGAGGCTGATTGCTTCTTCTTCACATTCCCTGTCTGACCATGCAGATGCTGTGCCCTTGGCTCTGACTGCCCTTCTCTCAAAGGAAAATCCTGTCTCCTTGTGGAGCCAGGTTTTCACAAAGGTGGCACTGTTCTTCCTGACATCAACCCAGGTGGGACCTGAGGGGCAGAGAGAAAGGACGTATCCGARGAAAAATTAGACACTTGGAAGCCCTAATTAGATTGTGTGGCTTCAACATTTTACCCTTGCTTTGCACGTATCAAAAAGTTKCTGTTTCCTCTCTTCTCTTCCAGGTGTCCCCCTTTACCATTGAGCCATCAGCTGGAGAAATACCTTCTTTGGGTGTGTGCACAGTTTCAGTTCAGTTCACATCATGGCAGTGCCAGCGTCTCCASACAGTGTTGGAACTGGAGGTAGAAAATGGAGAAAGAAGGTAAGGAGGAAAAGCAGCATTTGTTTTGTTTTTCCTGAGATTCACATCTGGTTTTCACTGTAGGTAGTTTTCTCTCCTACAACAAAAGTATGAACTCAGAGTGGGGTTGTGTAACCTATCAATGAACTATCAAATTTCTAATATTGCTAAATAAACATAAACATCATTCTTCCCAGCATACTGTTTTATGTCTAGCACATTTCATTAACAATAACAATAGACCATCTGTGTGTTTATTTCCAGTCATCTTCCTGTTTTTGTTGAAGTTCAGACCCCCCAAGTGTGCCTGATATCTAGTCATCTAGTATTCACTGAAATTTATACTGGAATTCCTGCTAAAGCAACTTGTAAACTTTTTAACCAGACACGGCTGCCAACAAAATACTTATGGGGAAAGGTAAATGCTCTTTTAATATTTGAAGCATACAGCCATGCAGGATGGAAATTGCCATTTMTGTAGAAATACAAATAAAGTATTTTCATTCTTTAAAGCTTTTCTGGTGTATCTTTTGAGTAGTCATTGCTGTTTACTGGCTTGGGAGCAGAACTTCAGCTTTAGAGCAACCTTTATGAAAAGATTAACTACCAGTTGATGTCAATATGCTCTTACTGTCTGTGGATCCCTGGGTGAGCAGATGTGAGGAGTCATAGCATATAAAGCTACCAAAGTATTAAACAAAGTGTCCTGGCACTTTAGGTTCTGCACTTAATTTAGTAAATCAAAGAAATGATGGTGCTTTGAATTGTGTCTGAATTCTGCCTRAATTTCACATTCTGACTGGGATTCAGCTGACAGAGTAGGAGCCCTAAATTTAGTGTCAGTGTTTAAGCTGTGGCCAGAGCTCTCTTTTCAATGGAAATTTGGTAGTTCCTAGGTCATTCAGATCTACTCTAACATCCAGAGTTCAGCTCAGTCGCCTACATAACAGCACTCAGTGTCATCCTAGATGTCCTCAGGTGCCCAACTGATCCTAAGGGAGCATGTGGATGGTATAGGACCTACAGGAAAACACTTTGGAGCATATGGAGCCTAGGAAGAATGTCTACAATATTTTTCCTGATACATTCATATAGGAGCAGCTGAGTGGGCCCTGGATAYATTCCATGTCACTTACGGGAGGTGCCAACACAAGGATTGTCTCTCCCCCATCTCTGTAGTGGAGAGAGCTGGGGCACATCTGGGATCCTGCTCTGATATCAGATAGTTGACTGCACCCTGGAAAGACTTGTGACTGTGAAAGGGATGACAGTGACTCTGCTCCTGAAGTTACTTGGAGTGAATGTAGGCATGAGGACCTTATCACCCCTGGGGACTGTAAAGCCAGTCTTAACAAACTGTAGGTGTTGCTGCYTCAAAGTGTCCTAAGGCTGAGAATAGCTTGGTCTTCACAGACCTCTTTGATGTGAATAGACACTGTGAGAGAATCAGCATGAGCTGAATGTTTTTTTCTGTTTGGCAGCTCATTGGAAGCCAGGCAGCTTCCTGCTCCATTGTGGTCTCCCCTGCCAGTGGCACCTTAGGCCCAAATGRAGAAGAGGAATTCTGCATAGAGCTGTCAGCTAACATCGAGGTAAGTTTGCAAACTGATGCACTTTTATCAAAATAGCAACATTGGCTTTTTCATCTCACCTCCCTCTGGCAAAGGGAAGGAATTAAATGTACAAATCCCCATGCTCTTTTTCCCACACAATATCTGTAGAATGGCTTTGCTTTAGAGGCATTAAGGGTTAAAGACAAGAATTAAAGATCACATGATAGGCAATTTTTACACTGCCTCTTTATATCTCCTGTTTTCTTCCTTTCTTGAAGTCCTCTGCAATTCCTCTTAATGCTTATCACTCTTCTTGGAGTGTACAGATCCTCACTTTGGATTATCTGGAATGATACGGAGCAGAGTGGTATATATGTAATAATTTGATTTTCTGACTGGAGCTAGGCTCATGACATTTTGATATTTGAAAACTTGAAAGAGGCTGATGGGATTGAGAGTCTGCAAAATACAGGAGTAAAGCTTGCAAACTCCAGGAATTCAGAAACAGACTTTACAGGGGCATTCCAACAGCTGAGTTAATCCAACTAAATATAGACCCTTCCTATAGATATAGTGTCTTAATTTCCATTACAGTCACTAGAGACCTAGGTTTCATTTATTTGCTTAGAAGTAAGTGCTCAGTGCTATCAGAGTTCGTGTTTAAACATTACGTAGACATGGTGCTTGGGAACATGGTTTAGTGGCGGTYTTGGCAGCGCTGGATTCATGGTTGGACTCAATCATCTTAGAGGTCTTTTCCAATCTAAATGATTCTATGATTGCAGTATAGGAATTGTGTCAGAAATCACTAATGGAGCAGTTTTAGGCTCACAGACTGCTGCAGGTACAAAGTTGTKAAAAGCCACATTTTTTTTACCTCAGTACTGCGTTCTAAGCAGCTGATGCTGGCAGAAGATGTGCTGGAAACAAGTCTGTAAAACTTCTCACAATTCTGTTGTTCTGGGTTTAATCCCGGAAAGTTTACACACTTTTTAAAAATAAATATCCCAATGAGGCTGCCTTTCCTCTGATATATGCTTCGTTCACAAGGAAATTCAATTATTTTCTTTTCAGGGTGAGCTGAAAGACCTCACCCTTTCCTGTAGCATAGAAGAAGACATGGCTGAACCCCTYTTTCTGAGCATTTCTGGAGAAGTGAAGGGACTACATGTCATCTATTCAGTAGCTTATGATGAGGAAGTTGCCAGGTATATCTGACTGATTTTTATTTTATTTTTCTATTATGTAGCATGATTACTGTATTTTGGAACATGCTCATCTTTATATCTTTTCTTATAAGCAAAAATRTCTTTAATTTGGCAGGTTGGCATGTTATACATGATAAAAAAAATTACCCCAAATAAATCCTTGTATGGATAGAAGTGAAAAAATGAAAAGCAGAAAATACTGGTGACAAARATCATAGTCTGCATGGTCCTTTTACACTGGACATCACAACCACATTGCATGCTGCACATTTTTTAATCTCCTGAAATCATCTGTGGCATAAGAAAATAAGACCCATGTCTAAATGCTACTGTTTCTTTTTCTGGCAGTGATGAAGGACTAATGCCCCAAAGCCCATGTGAGGTTGTTTTGGACTTTGGCTCTGAAGTTGCACTCAGTGATGTTGTAAAGYGCCAGCTGATTCTTACAAATTCCACTGGGATCAGTGCTCCATTCACATTKGAAGTTGAGTATTTTAGTGCCTGTTTGCTGCCTCCAGAGCAAGGAGCCTGCCTGTGAGTTTTGCTGTTCTGCATAATGACTCAAATACTAATTTAGGTCTGGATTAAACTTGACATCAGATTTGTTATTTTCATACTCTTCAAGCTACCTGGTGAAAAGAAGAGGGCCTGTGACAGAACATGCAGCCAGAAAAATAAAGTCAGGTATGAAAATAGTACTTAATTCCTTCAGTGCAAASAAGGTGAAAGCCAACTGACTGCCATATTCAGCTCTAAACGTACAAGTCAGACACAGCTTTTCATTGCTGGAATATCTGGTGAAATCCAGACTGTTAAATTACTTAGTTTCTCAGTTCATTCCTGAGTTTGAAAGCCCACATTGTATAATCATTAGATCAATCTCTCTCTTCCCCTTCTGCTCTTTTCTCTTTTTCCCTCCCTTTCTTTCTCTCTCTTCTTCATCTTTTTCTTGAAARCAATAGTATGAAACAAAGTTGGTGATTCTGATGACGGTTCAGTCCCAGGAACGTTCCCAGCACRCAGTATGGATGACATGCAGAATGTTTGGCTCTTTCTCTCCTACACAGTTTCCCAGTACCACTGGAGCAGGCTTTTCTCCCTCAAGCCCTTTCCCATACCCTCCCCACTGTGGAAAGCTCAGCACAGCCCATCTGTCATTTCTGATGTATTGTACTGAAAAATGATAATATTTGGAGCCACACGAGACCAAGGGAGGGGGCAAATRGGAGCAAAATGCTGTGAAGTGTGGATGTGTCTTCCGTATCCAAAATAAAACTTGCACATATTGGTGCCTTGCCATAGAGTTTGGTATCTGTTACACAGACAGAGMTTTTCAGCTGTTGGATTAGTGCTTAAGATTGGAAAAATGCTGTTCTGACAGATTCCATGCAGGCCTAGGTGACTCAGAATGTGGAAAGGCTTTGCTCTTTGTAATTAATTCTTTGCATGGAAGAGCACAGAGATGTAAACAGGCAGCTGCTAATGGAACAATAAACAGTCAACACAAATCTCAGCCTGTTTTTCTCAAATAGAAAGTGTGTTTTCATGTAACCAGTTAGTGCCTTGCATATCTCAGAGAATCCTGGATCAGGCTGTTGGAAGGGAGTCCTGCTATAAAATATTCTGGGCAAGCACTAACTCTGCAAAAGAGAGTAAGACCCACTGCAGAAGGGAACTTGGGTAAAGTGGTATAAATGTGAGCTGTGTGAATTAACCCAGGGTTTATTTAAATCAGCAAGGTTAAGCTGATTAATAGCAACTGTAACCATGGTCCTATATATTCTTTGAAAGGCTAACTTTATTCTGTTTCCTCAAAATTCATCAAATATTTCTCTGCTGTGCTCWTTCAGAGTTAGAAGCAGCATTGCTGTCTCAGGGGAAGGGAGCAGCTTTCTGCATTCAACCTTCCACAGGAACTCTGGAAGCTTTCCAGCAGCTCACCATAGAAATCACAGCTTACAACAACATGTGGGGAGAGTACCAGGATAATCTTGTCTGTAAGGTAGATGGGRTTTTTACCATGGATTTTACATAGTAAAATGAGGATTTTACACCAATTGTATTTTACAGATGCCTTTCTGTTAGAAAGACTTTTTCAGTTTTTTCTTTTACTTCTGAAAAAATTTAGGGTAGATCTTGCTATGCCACCCCTTCCAGCAACATGCAAGGAACAATTGTTTGGTTTTAGGGGGGACTGTTTATTCCCTGGGACATTTTTATGTGCCTTGAGAATGACTGAGGTAGTTTTGATTTATAACATCTGTTTGGGAGCTGGCTGGTGCACTGCTCTGCTCTACTAATACTATAGATTGTGTTGTGTAGAAAAGTAGCAGGAAACCTGATAAATGCATGAGGTATTGCATTCTCCTAATGCAATGCTAAGAGTTGCTGTTAGCATGAGAATTAGAGGCTGTCAAAAGAAACCAGTCAAAAATATTTGAAAATCCATTCAGTTTGCAAAAATTAATCTCACAACACAGAGAAYTAAGGTTTTATCTTGATTCTAATAGCAAAAATTCATTTTAATAGGTGGGAGATTTGCAACCCAAATTAATTCCTATCAAAATGACTGTGACAGGCTGTCCAATCTTCCTGCAGGCSACAGGACCACAACGAGAGCCACCCATTATCAGGTATAGTGCAAAATACTGTCAGAGAAATCAGAGAATTAAAGACGGGTGGATTGCAGCCAACATATATACCTGTTCCATCTTGTGATATAATGAGATGGGCAGGGAAGTGACTCAAAATACAGTGTCTGTTTCTAGAACATAGATACATTTGTCTCTGCYGACACAATTAGAAAATAATCTACATACAAGCCTGCCAAGGTTTGCCAGCAGTTGTTGTTCTGAGCTTGCAGTTGTAGAATTTTACCCAGTGCAATCTCATCTGACTCTGTGGAAATGAAAACTGGCACATAGTGGCAGTTCTCATCATCCACAGCTCATTTCTACCTAGCCCTTTACCTGGACCAGGAGAAGTGCAGCCCCGTGGTCAGTAGGTGRCAGGGGAAGGTTTAAACCCTCTCACAGGGCAAGTGGCATCTGCCCCTCGTGATGAGGGGTAAGGGTTGGTTTATGGGGAAGCACAGCAGTGCACGTGCTTACCCTGAAATAAGCTAAAAAACTGGGAAAAAAAAAAGACTGATTAAATAAAACAATATTGTACTTCACAGTGTAGGCTATGCTTTACCTGTGAGCCTACAGTGCAGCCAGATCTATTKCCACTTTTAAACAACTCTTCAGTGAGTTCAGACACTTCTGTTCTCTGCATGTACCGACAGCAAGGTTCTGTGTTCAGGTTTGGCACTCAAGTCTCAGGAGGGTCCCCTGTCCTTCGGAGGGTCCAGCTCAACAATCCCACTCCATTTGGTAAGGATGAGTTGTACAGCAAACACTGACACTTTCATTGTATTCATTATGAGAATAAAAGTAGAAGACCCCATTAACATGTTAATTAACAGGCCTACTTGTTTCCTAATGAAGATGGTTTTAGTAAAAATAGTATATAAACACAGTGACTCAATGTGTTGCAACTATGCAATTGCACATCCTATCRTGATGTAGCTGGATTCTCCCTCATTGAAATTATGGAAAATCAGGATTTTCAGAAAATCTGTTCTTATACATCTCTCAACCCTAACTCTGGTCAATCCAATATGCTACCTGTTTCTTAGTGGCATCATTGGTTCTTCTTTTTAGTCTCTTTAGCTCTTGAGTGAAAGTTTAAGCTCCTCAGAGCAAAGACAATCACCTTTTTTTTTTTTTTCATTCTACTAAATCCATTTGCTTTAACAAAATACTCATAATTTATTTTAATGTTATTAAAATCATAGTTTAGGACATAGAAAGTGGCCAAACTACAGCAAGATCTCCAATCATTTTAGTTTACAGCAAGCATGGTAAACTTAAGACTTTAATGACTTAAAGACTTATGCTTTAATACAAATCCCAGTCGCCAGACAATTTATTCTTTGATATTCTGGTTCTCTGGTGCCAACTATACCATGAGTTCTCTTTGTGACTAGAAATAATTGTCCTTTTTTCCTTTGCCATTCAGACATCCGCCTGGACTGGGAAGTTTACAATCAAGAGATAGACAATGAAAAGCCAGTGGACCTATTGGTGCACTTTGGAGATCCTTTTCCTCCTGCGGACATGGATGGAAATGAAGCTGCATCAAGTGATAGCACCTCAGAGTCAGAGGTCGTGTTAAAGTTGGATCCAGCTGCCATTCCCTGTGGCAGCATTTATCCAGCTTTGGAAACYACAGATGAGATCAGCTGTTAGGCTRTTTCTTATACTGCTGCTGAGATGCATGATGTGTTTTTTGGCATGAAGGGTTGAAAACAATAACAGGAGATGTAACTTGTAACTAAGATCTGGATTGTTAAAAGAAAAGTCAGCTCCTGTCCCAGTCAAACATGCAGTACATAACTAAAACTCCTTAATTTGGCTCTGCTTTTCTCATGGGTGTTTCCTGGTGTTAATGTGTGCTGTAGTCAGGGAGCAGAACCTCCCCTGCAAATTTCAAATTGCAGCTAATAATATAAAAGTATTTATCCTAGTGCTAAAATTAGATTGGTTCTGTTACAATATGGTAATATCTATTACCCAGCAAGTTTGATGATGAAATGGCCATTTACTGTCTTGAGGGGCTGGGAGTGACAGGGAGAAGGTGTCCCCAGGATGTGTGTATTTCTCTGGCAAAAGCTTCACAGAATAAGATACTAAAATCACATTTTCTCTGCTTCAGTTCARAATACATAGTTGTTTTGAACACAGCTCTAACCTTTCCTGTGTACCAAGGGAGCATTATTGCCCCAGGSTGCTGCTTTGTATAATGGGCCAGAGATGTCATGGTTGGGTGCTTCTCTTGCACACACATTTTCCAAGGAATTCRGGAGCAGTTTCAGGAGAGCTATTCTATGCTTGAGAAAATTAATGTACAGGACACATCCACGTGTCCAGCTGTTGTGCCAGAAAGAAACTGGAGCTGGCCAAGATTTCTGACCAGTGCAGCAGTTCCCTGTGCACATCACTCACATTCCTCCCTTTCAGTGTAACAGTTTTAACTATTCCCCACCCCTTTGTCTCTGCAGTCTCCGGGTTCTGACAGTGAAGAGAAGGAAATCAGCAGTCAGGAGTCTACAAGAGAGAAAATTATCTCTGTATTTATCCGTCCWCATGAAGGGGTGCTTGCAGACAGCCCCTACACCATTACTCCAAGGCAGATAGTAAGCTTTTACATTTAAGTTGTGCTTAAATTTGGCACATTTTCTGCAGGGCAAAGAAGACAGAGAAGGAGAAGGAGGCAGCTTTGAATTTGGTTTGAAGTAGACTCTACTAAATAGTGAAACATTAGGCAGGAAGGCTTTGGGGTCCTGAAGATGATGATGATGATGATGATGATCAGAGTTTGCAAGGTCAACAGGATAGGTCCTGCCTATGTTTGAGCAGTTAATTGATGTCTGGAGTTGTGTTAGTTTTACTCCAGAGTGGCATCTCTGGTCTTCTCACTTGGGTTGCCATGGTGAAATGTGGGAGCCATCCAGCCTGAAGCTTTGGAAAACATGCAGAACTGGAAATTAGCCTTCTGGGAAAAGGAYACTCTGTAGAAAACTCTTTTGGATAAACTATTGTAACCCACAGTGCTTCACAAGTTGTGCAAATACAGGCCACAGGGTCRCAATCCCTTAGGAATATCATAAAGCAAAGACAGCATTGGAAAGATCTAACTCTGAGTGACAGTGTTGCCCAAAACATCAGTGTGTTAATTTTTTTTGGTTGG